GCCTTCAAGTTTAGGTCTGCTTCTTTTTGTAAACTTTATGTGTCTTTGTGGTTTACTTTTTGTGCATGAAAAGCTGGTTTGTCTAAGCTTCCAGTTCTCTCTTTTGATTTTATATTGGAGTGGCTGGATTGCTTTTGTTTTCAGGAGTTCGCACAGAGGCCCAATTCAGGCGAGGGTCATATGTTTTCAGGCTTTCTCGTAAGGTCTGGATCCCTCCAGGAATGTTTTTGGCCTCAGGAATTAGGGGCTTGGACTGGCCTGGGAGCCTGGCTCAGGAAAGATGCTGGTCTAGGGCAGCTGGTGGCCGTACCACCAAGAGATGCAAAGGCAGATGGGACAGGAAGAGGCCCCAAAGCCTCCTGGGGACTGCACTGAGGAGCTGGGTTCATCTGGATGCAAAGGATCAAGAAGAGGAAAGGTCAGCCCTGTGTCCCAGAAAGAGGCTGGGGGGTGGTGCAGGCCCGGGGAAGCAGAGTCCGGTGAGGGCGGGGCCAGGCCCAGAAGTAGAGCTCCTGGGGCCCAGAGAAGGCACTCCGTTGGTCTGGATGAAAAGGATCAGGGAGCAGTATTGGTTCCCCAGGTGTCTGGGGCCCCAAGACAAGGAATGGGACAGGACCCAAACTCAGAGGAGAGAAAGGGAGCGGAGATGGGAGGGTGAATGAGGCTGGGGGAGTCAAGGCGCAGAGGGCACAATGGACTTATCCCAAAGAGAGGCCTGCGGGTACGAGAGGGGACAGGAAGGCTATTTTTAAAAAAAAATTTTAAATGTTATTTTTATGGGTATTTTGCCTTCGTGTATGTAAGTGTATCATATGTGTGCAGTTTCTTTGGAGGCCAGAAAAGGATATTATATACCCTGGAACTGGAGTTAGGGTCAGTTGTTAGCTGCCATGTGGGTTCTGGGAACTGAACATGGGTCTTCTGTAATAGCAACCAGTGATCTTAACCGCTGAGCCATCACTCCTGCCCCAGGAAGACTATTCTTTTTTTTTTTTTTTTTAATTTTAATTTTATGTGTATGAGTGTTATACCTGCATGTATGTAAGTGCACCTGTATCATGCAGTATCCACAGAGGACAGAAGAGGGCGTCAGATCCTCTAGAACTAGAGTTACAGACAATTATTAGCTACCATATGGGTACTGGTATTCTAACCCAGGTCTTCTGTAAGAACACCTAGTGCTCTTAACTGCTAAGCCATCTCTCTCCAGCCCCAGGAAGACTGTTCTTGATCCGTGATGGAGCACAATAATGTGTATTCTTAAGGTATGAAGATGAGAAAACTATAGATATAAACTTGTTACTGTTATGTAAGAAGGCAGGAAGAGTAAAATAAGAACTATGTGATGGGAGGCAGATAGAAGAAGGCAGAATTGAGAATGCTAGTTGAGGTAATAAGGAGTATAGAATGTGAGGAAACAAAGGCCTGAAGTAAATATCAGCAATACACGATAGGACAGAGAATGGAGCTCATTGATTCACTGCATTTGTTTAATTATTTTTCTTCTTGTTTTGTAGGTTTTTCTGTCATTCACAGAAAAATGGATCATTTAAGTCTTTGGAGGACTCGGTTGTCACAATACTCCTCTACTACCAACTAAGATTTATGACAGTCAACTTATGATAATAAATTTCAACATTACAGAAACACTGAAGAATTAGAAGATAGTCTTTCATAAGATAATCCTAGAGTATCATGCTACTAAATAAAACCTAAAAAGCACAGTTGTTGAATCATTAGACTTGATAATACACACACATATGTGCAGCAGCTACTGTCTACTGATACTTACCAAACCTCAAATTTAAACATCTTCCCTTCATGGAAAATTATATTTTGCAAGAAACCACTGAGCATTGTCATTTACTGTTTTTTGATAAGTATCATTAGGAAAATTTTCTTGAAACACGTTCTAGAAAGTTCTAAGTCCCACCACTAGGTGAATTTGATATTATGGCAGCAACTTACAGACTTGTGGTTAGTACTGTGAACCATTACAGCAGTGTGGTGATAGACCGGCGTTTTGAACAAGCTATACATTATTGCACTGGAACCTGCCATACCTTTACACATGGAATAGACTGCATTGTGGTACATCATAGTGTTTGTGCAGACCTCTTGCATATTCCTGTGTCTCAGTTCAAAGATGTGGATCTGAACTCTGTGTTTCTGCCCCATGAAAATGGGCTTTCCTCAGCTGAAGGAGATTACCCTCATCAGGCCCTCACAGGCATATCCAGGGTCAAGAGAGCATCTGCATTTCAGAATACCTGTAACTTAAAGGACATTGCAGGAGAAGCAATCAGTTTTGCTAGTGGGAAAATAAAAGAATTTTCTCTTGAAAAACTCAGAAACTCGAACCATGCAGCTTACAGAAAAGGAAGGAAAGTTAAATCTGACTCATTTAATAGGAGATCAGTTGATTTTGACTTACTCTGTGGCCACTATAACAATGATGGGACCTCTCCATCCTTTGGCTTACTCCGGAGTTCCTCAGTTGAGGAAAAATCTTTATCTCATAGAAACTCATTTGATACAAACCTGACTTCCATGTTTCTTCAAAACTTTTCTGAAGAAGACCTGGTAACCCAGATTTTGGAAAAACATAAAATAGATTGTTTTTCTTCTGGGACAGACATAAAAATGTGCTTGGACATCTTACTGAAATGCTCTGAGGATTTGAAAAAATGCACAGACATTATAAAACAGTGCATAAAGAAAAAATCAGGAAGCAGCATCAATGAAGGAAGTGGCAATGATACATTTTCTAACTCTGAAACTGTCTATATGAATGTAATGACCAGGTTAGCAACCTATCTGAGAAAGTTACCATTTGAATTTATGCAGTCTGGGAGTAATGAGACTGTAGATTTAACAGAACTGGTCAGTAATATGCCCAGCTTACAACTGACTCCCTTCTCGCCAATATATGGGACCGAACAGCCCCCTAAATATGAAGATGTTGTCCAGCTCTCAGGTCCTGATGTTGGACAGTTTCAGTCTGTTAAAATGCAGGATGATAAGCATAATTCTAAGCAAGCAGACACTGCAAAAGCCACTCCAAACAACACAAATTCCTTGTATAGCTTGGAGATAAATGATCCCAGAATTCTAAAAGCTGTTCAGCTTCAATCACCATCATTAACTATGAATCCGTTAGAGACTGTTTCTTCTGGTGACTTAATGGAAACTCTTTATATTGAAGAAGAGTCTGATGGAAAGAAGTCATTATTAGGTAAAGGACGAAAAAGAGAGAATGGACAAGGTCAAGAACTGTTAAAAGTAAATGAACATAAAGAATTTCCAGACCATGATACTCATTTTAAAAAATGTCCTGCCTCAATGCAAAATGAAGTTGGTAAGATATTTGAGAAGCCAGTTGTTCATCTGCCTGAAGAAAAATCTAAATTAGAAGTTCCTAAAGTAGAACTAGGAGACCAGAGACATTCTATGAACTCTAATGGTCAAGAAGAAATAGATAAATTGTTAATGGATTTGGAATCATTTTCACAGAAGATGGAGACCTCTCTGAGAGAGCCACTTGCCAAAGATAAAAGCATCAGCCCTCTAAATAGTCATAGCCATTTGACTGGACAGATCTCTTCAGATCCTGAGCCTAAATCCAAAGTCTCTTCACCTGCAGAAAAAGTCTCACCTTCCTGTCTAACAAGGATTATTGAAACCAATGGACACAAAATAGAGGAAGAAGACCGAGCCCTCTTACTGAGAATTTTGGAAAGTATTGAAGACTTTGCTCAAGAACTAGTTGAATGCAAATCAAGCAGAGGAAGCCTATCACAAGAAAAGGAAATGATGCAAATTCTACAGGAAACTTTGACAACTTCCTCCCAAGCCAATTTATCAGTCTGTAGAGGCTCTATTTGTGAGAAAGCCAAAGATACTACTTCAGTTGTTTTAATTCAGCAGATGCCAGAGGTGATCAAGGTAAGACCCGACAATCTTGAGTCCTGAGAATTCTCCAAAGACGTTTTATTGCTTGTAAAATGTATAAGCAGAAACTACTTTTGTTAGCCATTTTGAGTTCTACACTAGGAATGATCTCAGCTGAATCAGTAAGAAGCAAAGGGCTTAGAATCAAACAGATTTCAGTTTTCAGTTTCCTAGCCATGCCTTTCATTTTCCTTCTAGTTCTGTGACCAAAAGAAAGTCACTTCGCTTTAATATCCACACCTGTAAAGAATTTCAATATTTCTGTAAAACGTAAGCACTGAAACATGATGCTTACACAAAGTAGACATTTAATATTCATTCTCATTCTTTTAAGGCAACCAAGAAACCAGTCCTTCATGAGTGTGCATGCTTCTGTGAGGTACGGAATAGGGCACAAAAAAAGAGAGGGCCTGATACTTCAAGAGCTTAAATAGCTAGCGTGACAGAACTTATACTTCTAAACAGTATGTTAGCCTGTAAACATTCTCTAAAAGTACTGTTAGTGCAGTAAGCCTTCACAGAAGGCAAAAACTTGAGTGTATGAGGTTTGTTTCTCTATTAAGAATAAATAACAATCTAGACTCAAAGAAGTAGCTTCAAAAGGTTTATGATCTTGGGAGCTAGAGAGATGGCTCAGTAGTTAAGAGCACTGGCTGCTCTTAACAGAGGACCCAGGTTCAATTCCCAGCACCCACATGACAGCTAACACCATAACTCAGATCCCCTGGAACTGGAGTTATGGATGGTTGTCAGCTGCTATGTGGGTACTGGAAATCAAACCCGAGTCCTCTGCAAGAGCAGCCAGTGCTTTTAACCACTGAACCATCTCTCCAGCCCCATATTGCATAATTTTTAAAAATTGGGTGTTGGAGATAGCATTTATGTAGCCAAGTTAAAAATCAAGTTAAGGCTGAGGACATGGCTCAGCAGTTAAGAGCAGTGGCTGCTTTTGCAGAGGACCTGGGTTCTGTTCCCATATGGCAGCTCACAACCATTTGTAACTGCAGTTCTAGGGGAATTCGGTGCCTTCTTCTGGCTTCTGTAGGCACTGCATATGTGTGTGTATATACATACATGCAGGCAAAACACTCATATACATAAAATAAATAAAAAAATCAAGTTAAATAGTATTTTAGCCCCATTAAAATTTCATTTGAAGGACCAGGCATGGTGGGTATGCCTTTAATCCCAGACTTAGGAGGCAGAGGCAGGTAGATCTCTGTGAGATCAAGGCCAACCTGGTGTACATAGCAAGTTTCAGGCCAGTTGGGGCTACAGGGAGACCCTTTCTCTTTCTTTTTTTAAAAAATATTTTATTTTTATTTTATGTGTATGCGTGTATTGCCTGCATGTAGGTAAGTGTACCTGTGTCATGCAATGCCCACGAAGGACAGAAGAGGCTGTTGGATCCCCTGGAACTGGGGCCACGGACAGTTGTTAGCTGCCATGTGGCTGCTGGGATGTGAACCTGGGTCTTCTTCAAGAACAGCCAATGTTCTTAACTGCTGAGCCATCTCTCCAGCCCCAGGGAAACTCTTTCAAAACAGACAAATTCCATTTAAGGGCCAGCAACATGGCTCAGTGGGTAAAGGCACTTACCATACAAGGCTGACAGCCTTAGTTCAATTCCTGGGACCCAAGTAGAGGTAGAAAGAGAAAGCCTACTCCCCAGGTTGTCTTCTGACCTCCACACACATGCTGTAGCATGTGTATTCCCACATGTGTGTGCACACGTGCATGCACACACACATTAGTAATACTATACAATTTTTTAAAATTTAATTTTATCTGGGCATTGTGGGATATTTCTGTGGGATATTCCTGGTACTCAAGAGTTAGAGGCAGGAAACCACAAGAAAGACCCTGTCTCAAGCTAAGTAATAGAGTATTTTCCTACCATGTGCAAAGCCCTGGGTTTGATCCCAGCACCAGTGGGAGGAAGGACAGGAATTATTTGACAAAATGAAAAAGGTAAATTGTGATCAAGTGACTAATTTCTACTTGGTACACATTTTATGACTACTGTTCTGTGGACATTTTTAGTCCCAGTAACATTGAAATTTAAAGTACTACATTATATACTGAGGTTATTAAATGATGATTTTACTCAGATGTTCACAGAACAGTCCTGTAAAATCTCTCTGTGGATTTCATTTATTGGTTCACAAATGTTAGTAGTATTAGAGTTTTAAAGCAAAAGCTCCAACTCTGGGAGTTCCAATGGACCAGGTTCAACCACCACTCCCAAAAGCCAATCCAAAAGATCAACTCTGCAAAAGTAAGAAAGGAGTTTTATAAAAGGACTTTGGCCATACCAGGAAGAACAGAGGGGTCAAATGATTTAAGACCTGTCTTCAGAGAGCTGACAGAACTTTGAGGTTTTTAGAAAGTGGAACAGACAAAGGTTAGGGGTGTTCATAACTAAAGGTTTGCATAGCTTGGCAAAGAAGCAAGCTTGGTCAGGCCATGGTTTGGTCAGACTATTATCTTTGGATGGGCAGGCTGTGCTTTGTGGACACAAAGAAAGTTAGTGTTGCCTAGCGTGTAGTTTCAATTCTTCTCATGGGGTATTTACCCATCAGACCTTTTACTCCTGGAGTCCAAGTGATTTCAGGAAAGAATGACTCAGAAAAGAGCAAGTCAGAAAGGCATGATGAAATTAGTTCCTTCAGGTATACAGCAATGACTGGAGACTTTCAGACACTACTTCAGCTAGTCTCATCTTACTTATTCTTATTTGGTATCTTGGGGTAGGATTAGCAGCTTCAGACAAATACCCTTAAATGACTTACAAATCTATGTGCAGAATTGAGCAAGAATTCTGACCCAAATTTTAAGGTAGCAGCTGAGCATGGTGGCACACGCCTTTAATACCAGCACTCAGGAGGCAGAGGAAAGCAGCTCTTTTTGAGATTGAGGCCAGCTTCGTCTACATAGTGAGTTCCAGGCCAGCTATGACTACAGAGAAACCCTATCTCAAAAAGAACACCCCCCCCAAAAAAAATTCCTATGGTAGCAAATGCAAAATGAAGACACACATACCAAGTTTTTACTTTGCTGTGTGTCTGGTATACCCAAGTAAAGAATCAGTACTTTCAGCAAGTACACTGTAAACCCCTATTATAATATCTTTAACTTGAGCTGTCAGTAGGAGAGAAACTAAATAAATTAACAAAAGTTTTAAAGTCTTTTTATAGATGAGACATTTTGTAAAGAAAATAACTATATAGGAACCTCAGAATGCTAATGATATCCCAAGAGTACTGTTATTGTAAGCTAAGCATGCTAAGACATTTGGATATATTTTCTCACTGTTTTCCCAACAATCTGCCCACTGAATGAAAAATGTCCACCTTCTCTAATGACCTATTTTAATGTCTCAAAGCCATTATAACCAGAAACTGTTGTTGTAGTAAAGCATCTTGAATGTTCTTAAACTTTCTTCTCACGTTATCTTTTGTGAAAAAAAAAGAGATAGTTGGGGATTAGGTCCCTGATAAGACTCCCAGTCTTAGCAGTAGGTCCCCAGTGATACCCTAAGTTTATTACAGCAGCTAACAGTGAATGAGCTTCCTAGCTTTTTATAAATGTGGACTAAAATCAGAATGGGATTTTAAAAATTATATCCCATCATTCTCTTAAATAAGTTACACTATCTTAAAATAGATGAAAATTTGACAAGATTTCTGCTTGATAAAAGTATTAATGAGGGGCTAGAGAGATGGTTCAGTGGTAAAGAACACTGGCTGCTCTTGCAGAGACCCCTGGTTCTGTTATTAGCATCCACATGGTGGCTAACAACTGTCTGTAATTCCAATTCCAGGGAATCTGATGCCCTCTTCTGACCCCCACAGGCACTGCACAACATGGGTGCACTCACACATATGCAGGCAATATAGTTGTACACATGAATTGAATAAAAATAATAAATAAAAAAGCTCATCTTAGATACAGTGAAACCCACAACCTACCTGTCTTCACTCTTTTCTCCATTTTCCAAAAGTAACTACTATTTTGAGATTGGTGTTTATCTGTTCCTGTAAGCTTTTATACAATACTGTTCTTCATGGTGCCTTCATTGTTTTGTTTGTCTATATGTTTTCTTGCACATGCTAGGCAAGCACTATACCACTAAGCTACATCTCTGGCCCTTAGTTTTCTTGAGATGAGTTTCTTGCTGTGTAGTTCAGGCTGGACTGGAACTTGCTGTTCTTGTCTTAGTCTCCTAAGTACTAGGATTATAGATGTGAGCCATTATACCTGGCCTATGATTTCTTTAAGAATAAGTGATTTTTGTTTGGTTTGGTTTGGTTTGGTTTTCGGGGGAGGAGTGGTTTTGGTTTTGATGAGTTTAGAGCCACAGCTGCCCTGGAACTTTCTATGTAGACCAGACTGGCTGAAATCACAGAGAGATTTGCCTACCTCTGCCTCCCAAATGCTGGGACTAAAGGCGTGTGCCATCTTGTTCACCTCAAGAATAACAGTTTTGTTTTCTTTTTTTCTTCAGTCTTTTTGAGACAAGGTCTCCTTGTAGACCCAGCTAGCCTGGAACTCACTATGTAGACCAGGCTGGCCTCGAACTCACAGAGATCTGCCTGCCTCTCCCTCCTGAGTGCTGGGATTAAACGCGTGCACCACCACGCCTGGCTAAGAATAACAGTTTTTAATACCCTTTGGTGGTTTCTTGACAGCTGAACAATTGCCACTTCAAAACATTTTAATTAATTGGGCATTTAGGCGGTACTTTTAAATGACATTGATGATGATACATTAAGAAGAATGATGGATGTGACAGTATTACGTCACTAATATTTTAATATATATTTCAAAATAATTTCCCAAGTGTGAGCAATATTTGTTGCTCAGATATAAATGAAATTCAAACCCCTGCTGTGAGAGGGAGCCCAAAAGAAAATACTGTTGAGAAACTGGATAGTGACTTAGATCAGAGGTCAACAATCTCGGGCCCTTGGGCCAAATCCACCGTGTTGCTG